GTACTTAAATTAACTTTACCTACATAGTTAACAAATCACTTTCTAATGCCTCAAAATAACATTCCTCAATGTGTAACTCCTCTAGCCTTATGACCCCATAAATAAAAACAGTACTCATAGATCAATAAATTCTCATATCTAATCCGATACAATTATTGAATAACTTATATTTCATAAATGTATAACCCAGTTGTATAATTAGAGAAACCTTACCAAACTGTGTTATTATAGCATTACCTAGTAGAATAAACCATTCTCTTGAATGCACTGTGACTCATCTAATGACCATATGAACTGTTACTGCACTACAGATTGATTTGATTTGATTAGATCTGATTAATAAATTGTATGACTACATAGAGTAAATTGATCATTTTGTTATATTATTCATTGTAATGTTTCAAAATTGTAAAACTATAATGCTTCAAAATTGAAATGTTCAAATTTCATTGTGTAAAATACTCAGTTGTACTTGATATTGTAAATCGTTTACTTTAACTTTTCATTAATCTTAAGTTAATTTTAAGCCTGCCCATAATGCTCTGCATACAAGGGGCTTTTGACATGTACACCCAACTGCTATAATACCTTGTACAACTATGTATCATGTCTTAATAAGCTATTATTATATATTATTATTTGATAAAGACACCCAAATTAATAAAAACTGACATTATACGTATAGAGGTATTGAAGGGTGGAGGGTGGGGAGGGATAAAAGAAAAGTGACCACGACCATTACAGAAAACATTATGCACCATGTGCCTGAAGGGTAACTGTAGAAGATCACTCTTATCCTATTCAAAGACTGGAAAAAGTGTGATTTTCTCAAAAAAAAAAAAAAAAAAAATCCCAATTTGGTATGCATGCACTTCCTGGAATATCTAGGAAGTCATAGACCTACTGTGGAACCCCAAGTTTCGGCCATAATCCGTTCCAGGAGCTAGGCCTAAACTCGAAATGGCCGAAAGGCGAAGCAGTATTTCCCAAAAGAAATAATGTAAACAAAATTTATCTGTTCCAGACCCACAAAAATATTCACAAAAAGTACATTTTTTAAAGAATAATTATAGTTTTACTTACAACACAGATAAATACATATATGTACTAGTACAGTAGACTGTCATTTAGCACGAGTTTATTTGGCACAATTTGGGTATTGCACGATTGAAGAATTGTGGCACAATTTTATGTAACACATCGTACAATTAATTTAACACAGTTCAGTTTGAGAGAAGGAAAAAATAATTCTCTTTTGCTCAAGCGGCTGCCTTGTTGTGGAGCAGTTGGGGAGCCCTCCTGCCATCCCCTACCACTCCCTGACACCACCCCACCATCCCAGCATTCATAATTCATACGTGTCCAGTCCAGTCCAGTCTTTCTCTGCTACAAGGCAGCTGTGTTTGTGAATTGTGTTATGATATTTTAATTACTATATCTTGTATCTGCCAAGCAATCATGACACCCAGTAGCCATACCAGTGTTGCTGAAAGTGGCATGAAGAGGTATAAGCACTCAAGTCTTAAAATTAACAAAGAAACAGTGATATTAGGCAAGATAACCTGTAGGGGTAATGAAATGTTACTTTGTACACAGAAAAGAGGTTAATGTGAGTTTGTGTGACTTACTGAATGACAGACTGATTGAACTGACTGACTTACTGAGTGACTTAACTAACTGAATGACTTGACGGACTTACAGAATGACATGACTGACTTACTGAGTGACTTGACAAACTTACTGAATGACTTGACTGACTTACTGAATGACTTGACTGACTTATGGAGTGACTTGACTGATTTGCTGAGTGACTTACTGACTCGAGTGACTTACTGAATGTCTTGACTGACTTATTGAATGACTTGACTGATTTGCTGAGTGACTTACTGACTCGAGTGACTTACTGACTCGAGTGACTTACTGACTCGAGTGACTTACTAATGTCTTGATTGACTTACTGGATGACTTGACTGGCTTAGTGAGTGACTTGACTGATTTACTGAGTGACTTGACTGACTTACTGAGTGACTTGACTGACTTACTGAGTGACTTGACTGACTTAATGAATGACTTACTGAATGATTTGACTGACTTATGAGTGACTGAATGAGTTTACTGACTTACTGAGTGACTTGACTGACTGACTTAAAGTTAGACACTCCAGTACAACCATTAACTTTAGTACCAGAACCTCTACCATCCACCTCAGCCCAGTAGGACCACAACATAACTCTCCACACTCTTCACAATCATCCACAAACACCAGCACCCACAATTTAAGGTAAGAAATACTATTACTTCTGTTACATTTGTAGTCTTAAGCAGTAAAAACAATATAATACATCACAACAATGAACTAAAACTACATATTCACTTTTATTTTTGTAAGATGTGGAGACCTAAAAAAAGTGTTTGGCTTTTTGTGGGCTCCCAGGAACGTAACCCTATTTTTCCCACAAGGTCTTCAGTTCATTTCATACAATTTTTACCTAACATGGCATTTTCAGGAACGTAACTACTGTGCTAAATGACACTTGCCACATAGATGTACTCTCATCTCTAGGCCCAAATTTACCACTCACAGGTTATCTGAGTGAGCTGAGCTCGTGGCGTAGATCTACGGCTTGGACCCTGGGTTCAAAGTCGTAGATCTACGGGACGGACCCTGGAAGGGTTAACTCTTTCAGGGTCCAGATCCTCCAATCTCAAACTTGTCCACAGGGTCCAAGAATGTTAAAAAAAATTTTTGTTATTCTCATGAAATGGTAGAGAATCCTTTTCTGAGATAATAAAATGAAAAGTACAAAATTTCATGGAAAATAAAGAAATTACGCTATCATCAATTTTGCTGTGTCAATGATATTTTCACCGGCAAATTTGCCAAATTTGACTCCTGTTTTAGGCCAATTACTTTATTCCAGGCAGCCAAATTCTTAGCTATTTCAGTAGTATGCCTTCTATTTTATCGATTAAGCACAAGAAACTGCCCAGTCAAGTATTTCAACTACCCAGCAAAGTGATTAGAAATTGGTAATTTGTCCAATTTTGCACAGAGTTCAAAAAATTCTGATTTCAAAATAGGGTCCAGAATAAACAGTGCAGGCATTCCTGGCACAAAAATAACATTTTTCTCTGTTTGTTAGTTAAATTTTCAGACTTTACAGATGAATTCCATTTTGATTTTTTATGCATAATCAATTTTCATTCACCAAAAAATAGAAGATTTACTGTTATGCAATATTATAATAATTGTGTAAATAATATCAGCACATTCTTGAACGTATATTAGACCCACCAGTTAACGTGTATTGGATGCATGATGTCTTTGTTTGCTCTTGAACTTCGGCAAAAATCGAACATTTCCGCCACTTTGAGCTCAATTTCAAGCTATTTTCAGAAATAAAACCAGTCAGAATCATCTCTATTTCTTTATATGGTGCACACTTACCACATAGATCCAGTCTCTCATATCTAGGTCCAAGTTTACTGCTCACAGCTTATCTGAGTGAACTGAGCTCATGGCATAGAACTATGGCTTGGACCCTGACTTCAAAGCCATAGAACTACAGGACGAACCCTCAGAGGGTTAATCATGTTCCCAGGCATCTCTTATATTACACTTACTTTCCATTTTGAATTCATCATATAAAAAATTGAAGATTTACCCTATTTCTCGGATAATAGAATATAATCAGGAGTGATTGGTCATGGTTTATGGTTACCCAGTAATTAAATCATATCTATTAAAAACCCATAAAACAGACCAAGGAGTGTGGGTAGGCCCTTCCCTGCTCTCAGGAAAATTGGCAAAAATCAAATATTTCCACTACTTGGAGACAGTTTCAATCTACTGTACTTCTGGTCTATTTCAGTGGTACATCTTCCATTCTGGCAAATGATACAAAGAAACAGTCAGTAGAACCATAAAAACCATCCTAGAAAACTCCTTAAAGTTGCTAATTTAATTAAAACCAAACACATGGTCAGAGTTTTGCTTTTCCTATCATGCACTACGTGAGGCTGGATTACTTTTATTATGTGCATTCTCTTTAATGTAGGTTAAAATTTACCACTCTCAGCTTATCTGAGGGCGATATGCTCAAAACATTGATCTAAACGAGGGACCCTGGTATCAGTAACGTTGATCTATGTGACAGCTACTGATATGGTTAGTGAACACTCGGACAGTTCCTCAATTAGTCTGTTTTATTGAGAGTTTAGTGTATTTATTTTATCAACATTATTAAGTTACTGAAACAAATTTAAGTATTCCTTATCAACAGATGCGAGCTCAGTGTATTGAATTTTAGTATCCATTACAAAAATGTCATCTATTTCAAGGCGAGGTGCAGAGGAGGAGCTCCTAATGTAATTTCTTCCTAAAACATAAGTACAGTGGACCCCCGGTTAACAACTTTTTTCATTCCTGTAGTATGTTCAGGTGCCAGTACTGACCGAATTTTTTCCCATAAGGAATATTGTGAAGTAGATTAGTCCATTTCAGACCCCCAAACATACACGTACAAACGCACTTACATAAATACACTTACATAATTGGTCGCATTTGGAGGTGATCGTTAAGCGGGGGTCCACTGTATTAATTAGTTAATGGATTTTTTTTTTAAGACACCAACCATCTCCCACTGAGATAGGGTGACCCAAGAAAGGAGATAAACTTTCACTAACAGTCACTCCATCACTGTCTTGCCAGAGGCGTGCTGAAACTACAGTTCAGATGCCCCTCCAAACTGCAGTATCCCTGGCTCTCCTTCCGAGTGCAGGCACTCTACCTCCCACCTCCAAATTTAAGTCTAACTGGTTTCCCTGAATCCTTCTCATGAATATTATCTTGCTCACATTCCAAGAGTGTATGGCTATGTATTACTGTACCAAAATTTTCTTGTATGTTTCATGTTGTACATTGTATCCATCATTCCTCATGTTTGTTTTGCAATGGAATTTGTATTTTAAAACAAGATCATATTTTTATTCCTTCTTAGGGGACAAAGCCAGTAGCAGACTACCGTACAAACCACTGTTAAACAAGACATTTTACTTGGATGTGAAAGGTTACAGAAATATTGCCAACATCAGAGCAGACATACGAAACCTTGGAGGGGTGAGTCCCTGTATCTTATTCTTAATATATCAAACATTCTTATTATTGGTTTCTTAGTTTCTTAACAGTTTCAATTGCAATCAAAAGTAAGATCAAACTATGACTAGTGTATTAATATATTGTACATGTTTGGTATTATTAATTTTTTTTTTTTTTTGAGAAATGTAATGCTAATTAAACTTGGAATACAATATATGTATATAAATTTTAGTGTTCATGGAAGATTTGTGCTTTACATTTCTTTAATTGCTTTTTCCCATTGTTTCCTCTAGTTTGTTTACATGTGTACATGGTTTATACAGACATCATTATTTATATTTATTACTTAAATCTAAGAGTAGTTTCGTTTCACATATGAGGTGTTATAAAGAAAACTGACGAAGTCGCCAGTGAACAAAAATTGTGTTTACTGTACCAAAATGTAAATCTTCAAAATCATGTATCCCAGATGGTTGATTTCATCACTTTACCTGATTATTCCGTTGATTAATAAAGGGAACTGTAGCCACGTAATGTTTATTCTCCCTGTATCAAAATCTGTGACATTGACTCCAAGAAAAAACACGTACACTTAGTCTTTAGTTCTGTTAAAATGAGACCATTTTGATCAAAATTGTATGGTTAACCCTTTGACTGTTTTGGCCATATATATACATCTTGTGAGCCAGTGTTTAGGACATATATACTCGATAATTCTTGAGGCTTCAAATCAAGCAGGAGAAAGCTGGTAGGTCCACATATGAGAGAATGGGTCTGTGTGGTCAGTGCGCACTGTATACAAAAAATCCTGTGGCACGTAGTGCATAATGAGAAAAAAAAACTACGACTGTGTTTTTGGATTAAAACACTGACTTTGAGGTGTATTTTCGTATTGTATTTATGGTTGTATTCTTGTTTTCGTGGTCTCAATTGATAGAATGGAAAACATGTTACAGAAATAGATATGATTTTGATTAGTATCACGATGAAAATGACCTTGAAATTGAGCTCAAAGTAGCAAAAATGTTCCATTTCTACCAATGTTCAAGAGTAAGCAAATCACACCACACATCCAATACATGTCAACTGGAGAGTCTAATATTCTTTCACTAGTGCACTGATATTAGTTATACCATTTTTACAATTATGCAATAGTCTGCATAACAGTATATCATCTGTTTTTTTTTTTTTGTGAATAAAAAATAAAAATAGAAAGGAAGAATAATATAAGAGGGGCCTAGAGATGTGACTAATGAACAGAGGATATTTTATTTTAGTGCCAAGAATATCTGCATTCTTTATTCTTGACCTTATTTTGAAATTGGCATCTTTTTTAATTTGAGTGAAATTGGCCAAATTGCCAATTTCTGACCACTTTATTGGGTAGTTGAAATCGGTAAATGGGCAGTTTCTTGTACTCAATTGATAGAAAAAATGAAGTTCTAAAGAAATAGCTATGAGTTTGGTCAACTGGAACAATGAAATTGCCGAAAATAGGGCTCAAATTTGGCGAAATCGCCGATGCGTATATATCGCCAAGATCGCTAGATTCGCGGGAGCGTAATTCCATAAGTTTTCGATCAAATTTCGTACTTTTGGTGTCGTTCCCACCAGGAAAAGATTCTCTATCATTTCATAGGAAAAAATTTTTTTTTTTTCCAAAAATTTTTCGACATAGAATGACAGTTTCAGAAAGGGGCTTGCGACAGTCAAAGGGTTAATCTCTGAAATGTTGTTGCAAAAGCTTGCAGGCAGTTTCCTCAAATGTAACATTTGGCAGGTTCATTATTTTTTCTCGGCTCCTTACATGTACAGTAGACCGTCATTTAAGATGGTAGTTACATTCCTGAAAATGCCATGTTAGGTAAAACCGTGTTAGTTGAACTGAAAAACTTACGTTCCTGGGAGCCCCAAAAAACCCAAAACTTTTTTTAGGCCTCCACATCTTACAAAAATAAAAGTGAATATGTAATTGTAGTTCATTGTTGCGATGTATTATGTTGTTTTTACTGCTTAAGACTACAAATGTAACAGAAATAATAATGTTCATATCCCGAAGTACCACTGTATTTTTTTCATATGCCAAAAACGAGGCAAAAAAACCACATTTAGTATAGGGCCCCTGCTGAGGCACGGTGGAACTTACACAGATGACAACAAAGAAATGAATGAGATACTGAAATCTCAATATGACTGTGTTTAGCAAGCCACTAATCAATCTAAAGATCGACAATCCAAATAATTTTTTCATGAATGAGCCTCAAAACCCTATCATTTTTTTTTATTATTATCACATCGGCCATTTTTCACAAAGGTAGGGTGGCTCGAAAAAGAAAACTTTCACCATCATTTACTCCATCACTGTCTTGCTAGAGATGTGCTTACACTATACAGTGGAACCTCTACTTACGTGTGCATTCACGTGTGAGTTTTTCCAGATACGAGCAGCTGCTCGGTCGATTTTTTTTGCTTTCAGACGCGATCAAAATTTCCAGATGCGAGCAGGCCTCAAGGGAGGTTAACCCTTTCAGGGTTTCGGCTGTACTAGTACGGCTTACGTGCCAGGGTCCTTGACGTATTAGTACAGTGGACCCCCGCATACCGTCGGCATCACATAACGTTCAATCCGCATACCGCTCGCTTTTATCGCAAAAATTTTGCCTCGCGTACCGCTCAAAAACCCGCTCACTGCTCTTCGTCCGAGACGCGTCCAATGTGCGCCCTTAGCCAGCCTCACATGTGCCGCCGGTGGCATTGTTTACCAGCCAGCCTCCGCGGTAACATCCAAGCATACAATCGGAACATTTCGTATTATTACAGTGTTTTTGGTGATTTTATCTGCAAAATAAGTGACCATGGGCCCCAAGAAAGCTTCTAGTGCCAACCCTACAGCAATAAGGGTGAGAATTCTATAGAGATGAAGAAAGAGATCATTGATAAGTATGAAAGTGGAGTGCGTGTCGCCGACCTGGCCAGGTTGTACAAGAAACCCAAATCAACCATTGCTACTATTGTGGGCAACAGAAAGGCAATCAAGGAAGCTGTTCTTGCCAAAGGTTTAACTGTGTTTTCGAAACAGAGATCGCAAGTGATGGAAGATGTTGAGAGACTCTTATTGGTGTGGATAAATGAAAAACAGCTAGCAGGATAGCGTCTCTCAAGCGATCATAAGCGAAAAGGCTAGGAAGTTGCATGAGGATTTAATTAAAAAAAATGCCTGCAACTAGTGATGATGTGAGTGAATTTAAGGCCAGCAAAAGGTTGGTTTGAGAGATTTAAGAAGCGTAGTGGCATACATAGTGTGGTAAGGCATGGTGAGGCTGCCAGTTCGGACCACAAAGCAGCTGAAAAATATGTGCAGGAATTCAAGGAGTACATAGACAGTGAAGGACTGAAACCTGAACAAGTGTTTAATTGTGATGAAACAGGCCTGTTTTGGAAGAAAATGCCAAGCAGGACCTACATTACTCAGGAGGAAAAGGCACTCCCAGGACATAAGCCTATGAAAGACAGGCTTACTTTGTTGATGTGTTCCAATGCTACTGGTGATTGCAAAGTGAAGCCTTTATTAGTGTATCACTCTGAAACTCCCAGACCGTTCAGGCAAAAGAATGTCCTCAAGGAGAATTTGTGTGTGCTGTGGAGGGCAAACAGTAAGGCATGGGTCACTAGGGCCTTTTTCTATGACTGGTTACACCATGCATTTGCCCCAATGTGAAAGATTACCTAACTGAAAAGAAATTAGAACTTAAGTGCCTCCTGGTGTTAGACAATGCCCCTGGTCATCCTACAGACGTGGCAGAGCGACTTTATGGGGACATGAAATTCATTAAGGTGAAGTTTTTGCCTCCTAATACCACTCCTCTCCTGCAGCCCATGGACCAGCAGGTTATTGCAAACTTCAAAAAACTGTACACAAAAGCTCTGTTTGAAAGGTGCTTTGTAGTGACCTCAGAAACTCAACTGACTCTTAGAGAGTTTTGGAAGAGAGCACTTTAATATCCTCAATTGTGTAAACCTTATAGGTAAGGCTTGGGAGGGAGTGACTAAGAAGACCTTGAACTCTGCTTGGAAGAAACTGTGGCCAGAATGTGTAGACAAAAGGGATTTTGAAGGGTTTGAGGGTAACCCTGAGAGGATTATGCCAGTTGAGGAATCCATTGTGGCATTGGAAAGTCCTTGGGGTTGGAGGTTAGTGGGGAGGATGTGGAAGAATTGGTGGAGGAGGACAATGAAGAACTAACCACTGATGAGCTGATAGATCAACTTCAACAGCAAGAGGCCAGACCTGAGGAAACTGGTTCAGAGGAGGGGAAGAGAGAAATTGAAGAAGTTGCCTACTACAAAGATTAAGGAAATCCGTGCAAAGTGGCTTGAAGTGCAAACCTTCATGGATGAAAATCACCCTCACACAGCTATTGCAAGCCGTGTTGGCAACCTGTACACTGACAATGTTGTGAAACACTTTAGGGAAGTCATAAAGGAACGAGAGGTACAGGCCACTATGGACAGATATGTTGTGCGAAAGAAGTCCAGTGACTCTGAAGCTGGTCCTAGTGGCATTAAAAGAAGGGAAGTAACCCCAGAAAAGGACTCGATACCTCAAGTCTTAATGGAAGGGGATTTCCCTTCTAAACACTAACACACTCTCTCCCCTCCTCCCATCCCATCAATCATCACCAGATCTTCAATAAAAGTAAGTGTCATGTAATTGTGCATGCCTTTTTCAGTTTGTGTGTATTAAAATTAACATTTCATGTGGTAAAATTTTTTTTTTCATACTTTTGGGTGTCTTGCACGGATTAATTTGATTTCCATTATTTCTTATGGGGAAAATTCATTCGCATACCGATCATTTCGCATAACAATGAGCCCTCTTGCACGGATTAAAGTCGCTATGCGGGGGGTCCACTGTACTCATAAATTCTAGCGCCTTCAAATCTAGTGAGAGAAAGCTGGTAGGCCTACATATGAAAGAATGGGTCTATGTGGTCAGCATGTGCAGTATAAAAAAAATCCTG